TGAATTTAAAAGGCAGGAGGAAGGAAAGAAGAAAGACGAGGGAGAAAAATGACTATGTTATTAGTCATTGTTCTGTATTCTGTACGTGAAGGCTCTAACAGATGGACCCTCAGATAACCTTCATGGTCTGGTTTAATTTACTTTATATAATTTCCACAATTCTTGCAAATTATTAAATGAGTGGTTGTTCTTGACAACAATTAGGAACATTTAAAGGTGATAATTTATACATACTTCCCTAAATTTCATGTCAGGTAGTTCTTGCTATAATTTGGTAAATGTCCATGAACCTCTTGAAAAATATTACTCATAAATGTGGAAGCCCTATACATAACTTTCATTTCCTACCTCAGATTCAATAATAATATATTATTTTGTGGCACAAATCTTTTATCTCTTCTTGATCTGACGTTCCTTAGTTGAACACTTCAGATGCATTCATAGAATTATACATTTTACTAAATATATCACAGCTTGAAAGATGGTGTCCCCATTTTTATCAGCTTTCATAGAATTCTTCATTGATTTTCAAATGGCTAATATTGCTTTTAAAAATTAGTTGATCAAGCTCTTAAGCTCTTATTTCTGAGTTTCTTGTTAAACTAGTTCAGACTAGACCAGGGGTCAGCAAACTTTTTTCATGTAAATTCAGATAATAAATATTTTAGGTTTTGCAGGTCCAGTCATCACTGTCATAATTCAACTCTGCTATTACAGTGTAAAAGCAGTTATAGAAAATAAATATGTAAACGAGTATGGCTGTGTTCCAGTAAAACTTTATTTATGGACAACAACATCTGAAATTTATGAAATTTTCACATCACAAAATAGTCTTATTTTGATTGTTTTTCAACATTCACAGTGGGTCGAATTTGGCCTGTGAACCACAGTTTGCAAACCCTCCCCCAAACTCAAAGTCACATCCTGAATTGCATGTCACATGTCTTCAGGAGAAAAAATTCAAAACAAATCCAGAGAGAATTGTATTTTACCTTAGTTACTCCATTACTTAGTAATTATCAGTCATGTATCTGTTAAAATCAGATATTTGATTCTAAAAAATCTCAAGATTAATTCAGCAATCTTGAAGGTAAATAAATGAAGGACCAGGAAAAGACATTAGCTTAAAAGTATTAGGTTGTTAACATTTTTGTTACAAATAGGATTTGTTTTCACTCCTTTGGATTTGTATCTGCTTACTTTAAAAAAACAAGTGAAATCATTGTAGAATTACTAGGTCAGCTTCTTTTATTTTCATTGTTCTTCAGAGGCCACACTTTTGCAGAAACAGGATGTTCAAGAGGCAAGATTCTTCATATTTCAGTGTTACGTATAGGTCAGACATTATTGTTTTGAACTCCAAATAGTATTCTTACTTTTTAGTTGTATTTGCATTTTTTTGTCATGCAAAGATAGTCTTTATTCAAATTTAATGGAAACAAGGGTCACTATACTTTGCAAGACAGGGAAAAATAAAATTTAAAAAACTTCTTTTTTAATGTAAAGCAATATAATCACAATACCAGAATATGAAACACTATAGTTTATTTCCTGTGGATTACTGCAGGTATCAATTTTCCTCGACTGTGCTATTCACAACTTGGTTAAGTCCAAAAATATGAAACCAAAGTGGTAGGAAACTTAAGACTTAGCGCTTTCACTAAATGGCATACATCCACAGGCGTCAATTCATGAGCAAAACCTAGTTGAACTCACTATACCTACCTATGTGGTCATTCCAGCCTTGGAGCTGTCTAGGTCACTGAGCCTCCCTACCTATAGGAAAGGCCAGGCCTGAAAGCCAAGGCGTTTTGGATATTCTACTGTGAGCCATGAGTAAAAGGGGATTTTCTAAAGAGAAAATTTTTTTCAGTGAAACAGGAAGGCCTGGCAACGGGAGACTTTACGGAGAGGAAGCACTTAGATCTAACAATTATGGACACACCATTAGGGGAGTTGAAAATGTACAGCAGTAACATGTTCTACTCCAATCACTTGTGCCACGGCTAGCAAACATGCACAAAAGACTCCTCGGGTAGTTCCCCTGTGGTCATAGCCAGTGAGGACCTTGCCTGAGACCTAGATCTAGATCGGGAGGGTGATCTGAAGGCAGGCCTGGATCGAGACTTGGACCCAGATCGGGTTTGCAGGCCTGGATCGAGACTTGGACCCAGATCGGGTTTGCAGGTCTGGATGGGGAGTTGGACCCCGATCGGGTTTGCAGGTCTGGATCGAGACTTGGACCCCGATCGGGCTTGCCCTGGATCGAGACTTGGACCCCAATCGGGTTTGCAGGCCTGGATCGAGACTTGGACCCAGATCAGGTTTTTGAAGCTGACTTTGATATGGAGCCTGATTCTGACGGAAGTTTTGGTTTCTGTTTGGAATTGGATCTCCACGTGGACCGGATCTCCTGACTGGTGCCAGTATTCTCACTCTCTCCCCTTGGCCTTCCCTCTGGCTGGATTCAGAGTTGGGAGCGGTCAGTGTCTTCCTTTTTCTTCTTGCTGCTGCCCACCTTGCTGCCTCGCTTTCTGCTCCTCTCACTCTTGCTTCGGCTGCGCCTGCGACTGCGGCTGCGGCTCTCCTCCCTGCTTCTCTTCCTGCTCTTCTTGTCCTTGCAGCTCCTCTGGCTCCGGCTGCCCGGTTTGCTCCTGCTCCGGCTCCGACTCTGGCGCAGACTCTTCTGGACCCTGCCTTCCTCCTGGCTCCTGCCCCACTCACACTGCCTCGCTTCTCCTCCTCCACTCTTCTCTCCCGACTCCTGCTCCGACTTCTGCTCTGACTTTTATGCCTCCTAGGACTCCGGCCCTTGGATTTCCTGGCATTGTCATTGTTTTGGATCTTCTCTTCAGCTTGGTCTTTGGGCTTGCTGCGGCCCTTGCCGGCACTGCAGCTGCGGATGCGGCTCTTGTCCTTGCTGGGGCTCCTGCTTTTCTCCTTCTTGTTCCAACTCTGACTCCGGCTCCGGCTCTTGCTCCAGGAGCCGCAGCCCGACCTGGACCGGGGTCTGCTCTTAGAATTACTGCTTTGCTGCAGCCACTTCGGCTTCTCTTAAGGGAGCGTCTGCTTCTACAGCGAGGCCTTGAATGACACCGGCTCCTGGAGTAGGACCGGCGTCATCTGGAACCTGGCTTGTCTTCCACTAATCAGATTTTCTGCCATTGACTTTTCCAAAGCTCTTTTTATATCAAAATAAGATACAACTTCAATTACCGCCTTTATTTTTGCATCCCTTGTGAGCATCCACATAAGTCACTTATCCTGCCTGACGCATATAATCCTTTAGGTCTCGCCAGCTGCACCGACTTGACAAATTCTCCACAATGAGAATGTACTCTGTGCGAGTAGGAGGGCCATGTTTATCTCGGCCACTTCTTCTATAACCATATCCACTGCGTCCAGAGCCATAACTACCATCTCGCCGGGGGCCGCGGGCATGCTCAACAATTACTCGCTCGCCACAAAGGTCTTTGCCATTCAGTTCGTAAACAGCATCATCTGCATCACGCAGATTGTCAGACTCCACATAACCATATCCGTTCTTCAGATCCACCTCCAGGATCTTCCCGTAGCCCTTAAGTGCTCCACATCGGGCTCCTGGGCCTGGTAGCTCAGGTGGTCATGTACACCTGCGGCATCCCAGCAACAGAGTTTGTGGCTGGCCACGACCCTACCCCCTCCTTAGGCGGCGGGCAAAGCCTGTATTTTCATTTTTATTATATTATTAATGCATATTGCTTGAAATAAGCATGATTTTGTGTTGATAATCCTTTTGTTAAAATATAACTTTATTATTATTATTATTTTGAGACAGTCTTGCTCTGTCACCAAGACTAGAGTGTAGTGGCACAATCTTGGCTCCCTGCACCCTCTGCCTCCCAGGTTTAAGTGATTCTCATGCCTCAGCCTCCCGAGTAGCTGGGATTACAGCTGTGCACCGCCACACCCTGCTAATTTTTGTATTTTTAATAATATGGGATTTTGCCATGTTGACCAGACTGGTCTCAAACTCCTGGCCTCATGTGATCTGCCTGCCTTGGCCTCCCAAAATGTTGGGATTACAGGTGTGAGTCACTGTACTGGGCCAACATAACTTTACTTTGAAGACTTTTGTCTTAATGGGATTAGAACTGCATTACCATTCTGAATTTCTGCTGGTTCCCATAGAAGTGTCGACATTTTTCTACCCAAATTTTTTAGTGCTTTGTATACTGTCTTGCCCCTCTTTTCATGTTTGCTCTTAAACTTATGCCAGCTTGGATAAAATTGTACGTTAGGGAGTCTCCTGACATGAGAGAAAACAATTTTGAAATCTTCAACATACAGCATATTTTGTGCTCCTCTTCAGAGTAAAAATTTTCCCAAGGTATTTTCTTTTTCTGGGGCTGTTGTTAATACGTGTTGTTTTTCCTGTTTTATGCTTCTTTTCAATCTGTTTGGTTTATACTGTAGGAATTCCAGTGGGTTTTTTTCTGTTAGCATAATTACCAATGTTGCATGTCACCTGGGCATAACTACTTTTCCTAACTCTGTTGTAAACCATTGCTATCTCTTAGCATATTTTCTCGCTTATGTCTTGACTGAATGGGCATCTCTTCTTCATTTACTCATTCTCTGTTCACTCAAGATGTATCAAATACCTGTTTTATGTCAGTACAGTACTGAGCACTCTGCACATATGTGTATTATTTTTTTGGTGTTACAGCCTCATCATCCTACGTTTTTGTTGTTGTTATTGTTTTTGTGTGTGTGTCTGTATGTGTGTGTATGTGTGTGTGTGTGTGTGTGTGTGTGTGTTTTGTTTTGTTTTGTTTTGTTTTTTCACAAACAAGGTCTTGCTCTGTCACTCAGGCTGGAATACAGTGGTGTGATCACGTCCACTGGAGCCTCAGAGTCCAGGGCTCAAACGACCCCCTTGCCTCTGCCTCCCAAGTAGCTAGGACTGCAGGTGTGTACCACCACCCTGGCTTTTTTTTTTTTTTTTTTTTTTTTTTTCTGAGAGACAAGGTCTTGCCAAGTTGCCCAGACTGATCTTGAGCTCCTGGCTTCAAGCGATCCTCTCACCTCAGCCTCCCAAAGTGCTTGGGTTACTGGTGTGAGCCACTATGCCCAGTCTTCACCTTCTTTTGTAGTCCATCCCCTTCTCCTATTCTCTTCCTGCTTCCCTTTCACTTACACTTTTCCACTTCAGACTTTTAATTCATTTGACCTCCCCTTACCACCCTCTGCCACTTGCCTGTGGGTACAACTGCACACGATCCCTCTCCATGCTGCCCAGGTCTCTAGCTCCTTCTCCTCCTCCTTGAAATTGCAGGGGCCTAGGGGTGTTTGTACAGTGGCATTAGTGCAATGAGGCGGGCTTAGTTAGATGAGCATGGGGAATGGCAGTTCATTTGCTCTTGCTCTGCTGGTGCTATCCCAGCACAGCTGGCTAAAGCAGTCCTTGACCATGAGGATTTCTTCTGGGGGCATGCTTCCAGTTTTTAGTGAAGGATCACAAAAAATATTTAGTGTCACTTCATTGATATTTCCCCCACCTCGACTGAAGCTTTTTGAAATGTTTTTCAAAAACATTTCAAGATCTACAGGTGATACCTGTAGATTTTGGTTTGGGTATCCGTGTTGGGATTCTCTGCTTGCATATCTCCTTAATCTTGAATTAAACAGGAGAACAAAGGGTAATTAATGGTTTTTTGAACTGTCTTTTGTGTCAAAAATGCCTTGTCTTAAAATGTCCTGTATTACTCTGTCCACACTAAATTATAGGCACACCTTTCTCTCAATTCAATGAGAGTTTTCAGTGTGGTTTCCCCTTAGCTCGCTGCTAGGGGACTGTGTCTGGCCTTAGAGATGGCTGTTTGAATTCAGCATTTTGTATTAATAGTTGGGCATATTCATAGGTTATCAGAACTGGAAGGGACCTGAGGAATTATTTCAGTTTCCTGTTTTACATATGGAAACTCAAGGCTTAGATGGATGAATGCAAAGCTTGGTGTCACATGGATGAAAATCCAGGATTGGAATTTGAGTCTCCTAACCCCAGGCTTTTGTTGAATCAACTGATTTTCTATAGTGTTTATTCAGGGAAGAGATAGGAATAAACAGTGTCCTATGAGATGACAAATTGTGTGTTTTTTCAAGCACCTGGAACGGTTCTTCGTATCTCCCTAAAAGATCTCGATGTTATTGACCTTTGATTTAGATATGCCCTGATTGCTATAGAAAGTAACAATACCAATCTAAAATTTTTGTTAACAGTCTAGCAATATGATTCTGAGGCCTGGATTATATAGGAGGGGAAACATACTGGGAAAATGGGTAGGAGACTAAGTGTCAGCAGTCAGGGGTACGCTCGCTGCACCAGTGATTGTCAGGTATGCCACACAAAGGACATACTCGGCTGTTGCTCACTTTTGTGATGCTTTTCCTCCTTGTAACTAAGAATTATCACTTTGTTTTTTCCCTCCTGGTCATAAAGAAATCAGAGTTTTAGACCTTAAAACTATGATTTTAATTGTCACGTCATCTTGATGGAAAAACCCGATTTTCTTGACTCAGCTTAGGAATTTTTGCTGTCACCTTTTCTTAGCAAAATACGATTAATCAGCCAAGTTTTGTAGAATGAAGTATTACTTCTGTATTCACTATAAAACTCTTGAACTGTTCTAGTGAATTCAGTCCTGTCCCAGACTGACTCTAGATAGTCCATCTTTGGGTTAGATTATATGTAGGAGGAAGAAATGGGTAGATTTTGGTGTGAGTCTAGGCCCGTGAGTGTGTATATGTGTGTATATACATGTAGAAGTAAAATAATTGTAGATGTGCTGCGTTTTCAGGATGAGCTTCATCAGGTCCACCAATCTGAATGAACTGTCAGTTTGCTGCTTCACCATTTCCTGGAGAGATGGTCCTTTGGCCTTTCATAGTGGTAATTTTAGCTTTCCAGATATTTCTATAGATGAATATATCTGGGCAGTGCATTGGTATGAGTTACCTTCTCCCTCCCATGTGGAGGAAAGCGTTGGAGGTGACAGTTCTTACGATGTGTAGCGTCCCACAGCCATTTTGGTAAATAGGCTTATCCATAGGCAATGTGGGGGCATTAATGGAAATCTTGGTGATGCCTGTAGATTTTGGTTTGGGGATCCGTGTTGGTATTCTCTGCTTGCATACCTCCTTGATCTTGAATTAAACAAGAGAACAAAAAGTAATTAATGGTACAGTTGGTGGAGAAGCAGACATTGTTTAGGACATGGAGTCAGTCTGGAGGATTTGGCTTTGAAAGCATCAGTTTCTGGGGATATATCAGATTGAAGATTGTCAGGTTGAAGAAAAAAAATGTCAGCAAAGTAATTCTGCTGGTATGCGTTGAATGTGTGCTGTGTGGAAGGCCCTTGATAGAGATAGTATTAGAGATGGAGATGGCTAGATACTTGGCAATCACAGTGTAATAGGACATAAACAAGAGTAGTGTCCCAAATTAATCTCAACAAGAGCCATGAGATGGCCAGAGAAAGGTTAATTTCAAATGAGATTGTCCAAGAATGTTTCATGAAGAACATAGCATTTGACTTGGGCCTTGAGGCTTTTAGAAGTTTCCACAGTAAGAGTTTGATGAGATAGGCAGCTACAACGATGATTATGGGAGTAGCTTGGTAGTATGTATCAAGGACCTTATGAATCTTTTCTAGGATATAGTCCGAGAGCCAGGATATTTGATTTTAGCATTGTTTATAATGATGAAAAATGGATAAATTGATACAATATGTTAAATGAATCACAGTATAATTATGACAATATGCTACGTTCATGATGCCAAAGTAACAGGAAAATGTTTACTTAGAAATGTTAAAAGCAGAATTTGAAACCATACACATGCTTTAATTATTCACATGTGAAGAGAAAATACTAGAAGAAAATACCCCCATGCTATTAGTGGTTAACCCTGATTAGTGGACTTATAGGTACTTTTTATTTTTCTTACATTTTCCGTGTTCTTCACCTATTTTATAGTAGGTTTGCTATTAGAAAAAGCAACACTAAATTATTTAAGAGATAAAAAAGGAAGGAAACAACTCAGAGATCAGGGCATTTCTATGAACAATCTTGTTACCCAAGCCATGAGGTGTGGACGCTGCAGTCGAGGTCAGTGATGGACTAATCAAGTCTGCTAATACTGTGACTGTAGCATTAATAATGGCCTTCCCAAGATACGTTTCTGTGGTGTCCTGTAACTTTATCAGGATTTAGATTGGTTCTCCAGTTTACTGTACCAAAATCTATGTTGGGATCCTTTTTAAATTGTAGATTTCTGAATCTTACTCCTATAGGTTATAATTCATTTGTTTGTGGATATGCCCAGGAATCCACATTTTTAATTAACTCTCAGAGTGATTTCTTCAATTCAGGTGGTCAGCCTACCACACTGGGAAAAGTGCTGCCATCATTGAACTTCCTTTAGATGTAAGCTTTATGTTTTCTTCACTTGGAACTGTGGCCTACCTGGGTATGCATAGTTCAATACTGTGAAAGGCCAGTACAGATTGGTATGAAACACAGTATTGGTGGAGCCCGTTTCTTTTGAGCAACACTGATATGTGTTGGTGAAGAACATGTGGCCTGGGATGGTGGTCCCTGATAACTTTTGGGCCCAGCCGCCTGAAAGTTACTGGGCTCCTAATTGTTCCTGCGCTATGGATGTGCAAGCTTTTGTTTTCTAACTCTAATTTTATTACATAGTTTTTACCTCTAGGTGGCAGCAAAGGCTTGTTTTTTTATTAGGACAAACGGTTGTCATTCGCAAACCCTAAAAAAAAAGGTGTCTTTTTTGTTTTTACTTGTATGAATTTTATGCTTGGACATGTTTCAGTAAATGAAGTATGGAGCACTAAAGTGTGTCATCTCTTGGATCATTTTTATAGAGCGTTATGTCAAATAGCTCCAAGAAAGTTTTGTCCAAATTTGGTATGCGTATTGCAAGAGAAATCCATGTATATGGCTCTTTTAAGACCACACAGTGAATGTTCTACTCAGAGTTGGAGGCTCCTGGGTTTCATCAGAGAGCAGATGTCTTAGAGGAGATTAAGCAAGTTGGAAAGCTCATTCATAGAAGAAAATGATTTTTTTTTAAATGCTTAACCCAGTTCAACATGAAGACTGGAATTTGGAATGGATTAAAAGTCTGAAGGATGTTGAGTTCAATGAGGCAGAAGAAGTGGTTCCACCTAGGGAGCAGTAGAAAGAAGAGTATATTTGTGGGATATATTAAATTCTATAAGTGTTGGTTCGTTTTATCCATAGAGTTTGAAAAGAAACCAACAATCTAGCCAAGGGGGTGGCGCATGCCTGTAATCCCAGCTACTCAGGAGGCTGAGACAGGAGAATCACTTGAACCCAGGAGGCAGAGGTTGTGGGGAGCCACGATCATGCCATTGTACTCCAGCCTGGGCAATAAGAGCGAAACTCCATCTCAAAAAAAATTAATTAATTAAAAAAAAAAAGAAAGAAACCTAGCAATCTAGAAGACTCCCTGGTTATAGCTAGTCATTAGATGGTATTGAGTCATAATGATCAAAAGAAGTATGGAAAGGTGAAGTGTTTTCAGTTGTAATTAAAGTCACAGATCTATAGCCCAATTTCTACATGACTCTTTTGTTCTTTCACATTATCATGGAGGGCAAACATCTATAAATATACCAGAACAAAATCAGCATTTGTGGAAAAGCTATCAGATCTCAGACAGCTGGAGTCAGGGTGTTTCCTTTTCTCTAAATGAAATTAATTTTGTAAATGCTTTGAACTTTTGGAGATGTATTGGCACCATATTGTGTAAGAAAGCAGTGTTTTCTCAGGAGTGGTCCTGATTCCAGGGACTACGTCACATCTTAGCTCTAGAGGTTGAGAAGTTTAAGAGTCCCAGGGACCTCTGGTGATTTTGATATGTAGTAATTGAGGTCGGGGGGCGGGGGGGACAGTGGGTGGATTCAGCACTGCTTACTCCCCTGGGGACTCAGCTGTGGAATGCTTGGCCAAGGCCATGTGTTATCAGAATGACAGTGTTCTTGTTTTTTTGTTTTTATCTCAGTGTTTAATGGGAAAGTATGTAAGTAATGATGATAGATATGGTAATGAAAAGGAGGAAATGCTAAACTGAAGAAAAATATCTTTGGAATATTATTACCTTCTTTTCTTTTGTCTCTTCTATGGTTTAACAAATCACTGCTAATTTATGGTGGGGGTGGAGTGGAAATAAGAGATAATGAATCTGGCAGCTAGCCCAAAATTTCATAATGATTTCTTGGTTTTTTTCCTCTTGATTTTCTCAAAGCTCGCCCATTATGCAATAAAACTTTATCACTACAGGTTTTACACTTTATACAGGAAAGGGTCTTTCAAAGCGAAGGCCTTTGGTTTGAGTAGCTCATTCTCGTTAACCTCCTGTGAGAGATCATTCGGTTTTAAATAGTGTTCTACTGCTATGGTTTATATTAAAGAGCTGTCCAGTATCTGACGCGAAGGTCAAACTGGTGCCTTTGTTCTATAATGTATCATGGTTTGTGGTTATACCTAGTCACCTCCCAATCTCTCTTTCTGTGGAAATTATACAGTGGGCAGCAGGGGCTATCCAAGAATAAACATTGAAATAGTTTTCAAAATCCCTCCAAACCCAGTTGCTCCTACTTTGTGTCAGACCTAGCATCACATGTAGAAATCTTTGTTAAAATATACTAACCTTTAATAGTTGCTTCCTCATTTGTCCTCTTTTTATCCATCTGTGAACTTTTTTCCTTTTACCTCAGCTTTTCTTTTTTTGTACCCTTTCCTCCCTCCCACCTTCTATTTCTTTCTCATTTCTTCATTTGCACCCATTTAATTGTTTTAGTGATTCTCAGGCTTACATCATATAACAGCCTTTTGGTAGTATCTAGAGCACAAGCCAATCTTGGGTTGTGGAGCCAATCTTGGGTCTTCATTCCAGGTTTGGCACTAACCAGCTGTGTGTCTTTGAGCAACCACTTCACCAACATAAGCCTCAGTTTCCTCATTTGTATTCTTCATCTGGGAATTAAAATACCTACTTGCAGGTGTTCTTTGGGGAGTAGAGATACTGTGTTAGGAAGTCCCTGGCCCATCTAAAGTTTCAGGTAAGTGTTAGTTGTTCCTGTTGTGATTGTCATCATCATATTTTTTTCCTTATATCACTTCTTAAGATGCCCAATTCTTGGTCATAATCCTAACATTTTTGATTGTTTTACCTTTCGTGTTTTCCTGTTTTATCTCTCAGCTTTCCCCTTTCTCCAGTTATTTATAGGAGATAAGTTACTAAGGGTAGGAGTTAAGGCAGCTGAGTAAGCGGCGCTGATTCCTGGGCTATCCTTCTAACCACCTTTGGCCCAGAAAAGGCCCTTTCCCCCATTATTTACCCTCCTTATGCTACTTGGTCTGGTCCTCGTGACTCTATCTTTTTTTTAGAGTTCGTCTAGAGACATATTATTGGTTCTCTCCTGTTTTCATGTCTTTTGTTTGAAAAATGAACTAGTTCTACTACATCACCTGTAAAGTCCTTTGGCCTTGACATTCTCTGATTCTGCGAAAAGAACAAACAGGCCAGCTCTGACTACCATGTGTCTCACTGGCCATGCGATCCTTTGTTGAGCACCTACTATGAGCACTAGTTAAGTCCTGGATGGTGTAGGACTGTGGTTCTTAAATTTTATATACCCAGAGAGCCTGTTAGGATGCAGAATCCCTGCAGTGGGAATTAATAGGTCTGGGAATGCAAAAATCTACAGTCAGATGTGATTCTGATAAAGGTGATGAATGACTGCGTTTTAGGAAACATTGATATAAGGGGTTCAAAAATGATAGCTGATTCTTGCTTTTGAGATGATAGTATAGGAGGCATAAGAAATAATTATAAAATGAAGCAGAATCATGTGCAATAATAGAATTACTGACACCAGTTTTGGAAACTCAGTGGAAAACTAAAATGTAAGGAAGATTTTCCAAAGGAAGTGACACATGAGGGATGAGTAGGATTTTAGTATGAGGAACTAAGGAAGAGTATTCCAGCCCTATAAACAGTATGAGCCAAGGTAAGAAGGCCCAGTGGTATGTGGGAGGATAGTTAGTATGGTGTTCTGGTGAAGGTGTGGGTTATGTCCAGTGTTTCAAAGGAAGAT